CATGTTGAACTAAAACTAGGTTCTTACCTTGGGGGAGAGAAGGGGAATCGACCATTATCCTGAAACAATCCCTAGAGATGTCCAACGAAACTTTAAGCACAACCTCAAAGAATAAGCTACCTCCTAGAGAAACTAGTTTGAGACTTAAAGTAATATCCTAAGAGGTGAAAATGATGGTAAGTAATAGAAAATAATATATATATATATATATATATATATATATATATATATATATATATATATATATATATATATATATATATATATATATATATATATATATATATATATATATATATATATATATATATATATATATATATATATATATATATATATATATATATATATATATATATATATATATATATATATATATATATATATATATATATATATATATATATATATATATATTGCCAAGAAGGAACCAACAAGGATGCACCAGATATGAATGACTCAGACAAAAGAAAAAACCAACAAGGAACTACACACTTGGCTCATCACTAACCAGAGCTAGCTTCCCATCCATCATTTCTTGATTTGGGAGAACTTTGTCTTGTGATATATGCACTTGGGGATTAAACGTTCCACCTGCAGCAATGCATTCTCTAAATATAAATGGTTGGCAGTGAAACTATCTTCTACTTCCTTCACGTACTCCTTATCCAAGGAAAGATTTTCAAGGCGCATCTCTCGGAAGTCGCCATCATTTTTGTTCCAACCTTCTCAAGTTTTTTTCAAAGAGTCCTCTAACTCTTTTATCGTCTTATAAAAAAGAGTGTAGTGCTTTGGTTGCCGTATAAAAAGCAACATCGGCCTTGGTAAATATTGTCTTTGCTAAAGTCAGAGGTTTGCCCTTATTTTACACCATCTAGAAAAGTAACTACACCTTCTCACCTAGTGTGTCTGGATACTCGAAAGGTTCTACAACATAACCTATTCTTGAAATTAAAACAGATGCCCCTTGAAGCTCCTCCAGATAATTGTCTTGTTGTATTGTATGAGCATTTATGCCTTCCTGGAGAATTTCCCTTTTCTTTTTGAAAACAATCAAGCATAAAGACTTATCCTTTTCCGACAACACCAAATGCTAAAATAGATAACACCTAGAAAGTATGATACAGTAGGTCTGGTAATTCCTTCGGCAAATAGCTTCAACCTTACTAGAGAAGTATGTGTAGTCCTTTTCAGAAATAGAAGCTCAAAACTCCTTAATCGTTTGCACATCAGGACAAACAAGGAGCGAAGAGGCATGTTCACTGGATTCAACGAAGTTCCTCCCCGTAGATCCTGGTCCTCCCAGACTTGTTCCTAAGGTACCTCGAGTTTAGGGCTAATGGTCAAAGTCTTTTGCTTAGGCACCTCGAATTTAGGACTAACAGTCAGACTCTTCCCAATCGCAAAATGGTGATGGACGTACATCTCCCACTATAACTCGGTTCAAAGAACGCATACCTTCGTTTGCACTGGGATAGGTTAATAGAGGGTAACCAACCCAACGAGGAGTCGTCAGTCTAAGACCCTAGTGGCAGGAGCATAGGGATGGCAATTTAATTCATCCCTAATGGACACCTGCAAAATTACCTATAATAGATAGGATAAAAACCCGCAAAAATGGATACGGACATGGGCTCGGGTAATTACCTATAAAAATAATCGGGTACGGGCACCTTGGTACCCACCCACCCCATACCCACTTTATGTATTTTCTTTTATATTTATATATTTTAATTTATATTATTATATAAAAATGTATGTCTATCAATTTTAAAAAGTTTATCAATGTTAAACCATTACGGATTTAATGTAAGTGTTCGTTTATTTCAACCATAAATTTTTTAAAAAAAAATATTTTTAAAAACTTAAAATGATATGATATTTTATAATTGATCTATTTATTTTTAATAGAAATGCGGGTAATGGGTACGGGTATGGGTATTTATAGAACCATAGGGCACGGGTACGGGTGCTAACTTTGGCGCACAAGCGGGTATGGGGCGGGTATGAAGATTTTTTCAAATCGTGGGTATGGGGATGGGTACTATAGCACCTTGTCCAAACCCTGCCTATTATCATCCCTTCATAAGCATTCTTGGCATCCATCGTGAGAGGTATGACTCAAGGAGTCCTTCCATAGATTGTATTTTTTTATAACATTTCATTTTTTATGCAAGCCAATAATGCTCAGGTTATAAAGTGAAACACTTAAGGGTTATTCAAGAAAACAAGGCTTCCTCATGCTACTTACTAAAAATGATATGTCTAGCTTCTTTCGAGCTTATATCAACCACCAAGTGTGTCTCTATGTATTGCTTCCTTTGTTTCTTGGCCATTGTATCAAAAGGGACAATGTTGTCGACGTAGCCCTAGAATCTCAAAGAAAGTTACCAATTGTATTTTCAGGTAAATTTTCTCTTGAGACAGGTCATTCATCTTTTAAACATATATGAACTAGGATCTTTTAAGAAATGACTATAACCCCAAAACTTGAGAACTTGTTCGAGCATCGGTAGGACGACTCGGGCCTTATGATACATATGTTGGCATGAGCCACTTGTTAAGAAGAGTAACTAAGAAGTAGTGATCTTTGAAGTGTTTCACACTCTCATAGTATACCTCAAACATCTTGGTGCAATACCTGTGAGATATCTGACCTTAACCCTGCGCCAAATCAGTAGAGGTGCGTTGAGCTTAAAAGATATGTAGGAAGAACGGCGTAGTCGACATACCCTTCTTGTATTTACACCAATACTAGAAGACTTTAATGTAAGCCTAACTCATCAGATATAATTTTAAATGATCAATTAGTAAATGATTAAACATGTCAACCTTAAAATCATTGAAGGGAATACATAATCATATCAAGGAGAATAAACATTCATGAAGAGTAACAACGGGCCCCGTTATATTTAGTGCATATTTCCTTGTCTTATTTAGGGAGAATCCCCCCCCCCCTAAATCTTTAGAGGGTCTCACTATCGTGAAAGCATGGTCTAAGGCACCCTCACGAAGAAAAACAGAAACATTATCCAATGTCTCTTAGTCCACCCATATCGATGAGTTATCTCCTATGGCTTTCCGAACTTCAGTTTGGATGTCCTCCATTATAAAAGATCATGTCAACGTGTAAAATAAGTGAGAACGAATGGCAACGCAGGGCAAGTTTAGACCCAAGTCTAGTTCCTGGTAAAATATGTGTAGAATAAGCCACTAAATCAACAACAATCTTCTCCATTGACCCCCATGACCTTCTCTAAACATCCTAATAAAGAAAACAAGATTGAAAGAAAGGGGAATTCGAACATTACCTTAAAAGAAGCAAGTTTGGGAGCTCGCACGCTAAAAAGGGGCACAAGCTAGTTGAGGATGAGTGACTATGCGAGAAATGGCAACAACAGCATTAATCGTGAATGTAGAAGAAGAATAAGACTTTCTCCAATCCACATGTAGCAAAAAAAAAATTAGTGGTCTAAGAACTTAAATTCATTTCCACAATATTAAACCATGCGATCTACCACGTTGGAAAGTGTGAACCGCACTACCAACTGTCAAGATCTCAATGAGGAGTGCTTAGAGCACTCAAGTATCTTAAAATATAGGGAATGTCATTACCATCAGACATGGGGACACACGTTCTGACCTCCCTGTGAAAATTCATAAATCAAGAGACATTTAATACACATGTTCCCAATGATGATGATGATGATGTCCCATCAAGACCTTTCACTTACTTATGATTAAATGGTCAATCTAAATATGTACCTTGCAAGCCCTCATTTCGCAAAAATGTAACAAGGGTTTGAAAGTTAACTATTCTGAGTCGTTTGTTATATGCCCATGGAGAAAGGCCCAAGAGCGAACCTCGAGTTAAAAGACACGCAAGAGCATGTAGACCTTCACCTTAGTCAAAAGCATACTACTACTCCCTCCAGCATTTTAATTACCGTCATATCCAATCCGAAGATTGTTCACTCAGTACGTCACACGCGGACAATTTCAACCGCTCATCATTTCAAATATTCAAATTCATTCTTATTCACTCATTATTTCTAATTTCTCTCACTAACTTAGACATTGGAGTAATAACCTTGCGGATCAACCACCTCTCCACCGTATCAAAAGTATAGATCCACCGCAACAAAAAAAACAAGTTCGCTACCTTACCTTTCATTTCTAGTTACTATCCTAACAATTGATATTGTTATATTTTTGTGAAAAGTAAAATATATTGTGCATGTTTATGTTTGTATTTAGGATCAAAGGGAGTAACAACTACTTGACTTTCATATAATTTTTTTCAAGTATTAATCTGATTTTAAGTTTTCAACTTTAGAGAGTGATTAAAAGATTTGCTAAGAAAAATCATGTTTGGACTGGATGACAAACAATTTAGAATTGCAAAGACATTCTTGACAGATTTTCAATTTCATGTATCAACTTACCAAAGTCCAACAATATCATAAACCAACTTAAAATTCACTCCTCTCTTATTCAACATCAATAACATGGAAACAGCCAATGTTAAGAAAATAAGAATGCTAGAACCATGAGTCTGTCTCCCAAATTTCCAAGGTCTATTGACCCTCAAAAAAGTTCAACCTGAAACCATGCAGTGCAGACCATAAGAAAACTAGCCATTGGCCCCATTCTTTTTTTTCTCATTCATCATTAAACCATATTGGTGACCAACATTCAACAACAACTTTAGTCATCTAATGTTTGGATAAACTATATTTAGAGCAGAGTAGTCGATATTTTTTTATCATGAATCAGATTAATTGTATACTTATACACCAGATATTCTGCTGTGAACCTAAGTCTCCCCCTTATTCATAACACAAAGCCAAAGAATCGATTGTATTCATTCGATGGCAACACACGGGGTTGGCATTATTACAACGCTTTAACAACAAATGAAAAATACTTAGTCTTAGTACAAACTTGCCAGGTGAACATATTAGACTGAAGCAGCAGTTTTTCTTAATTTGCAAAGGTGGTTAGTTTACATAGAGTGGTTCTGGCTCCACTTTCCGTCTGATCCTGAAATATAAATTGACAGAAAAAAGTGTTAGAAATTGCCACCCGAAAAGAGTTAGTGTACTGTGATCCAAACTCACCAGTTTTCGGATGCCCATTTGCAGCCATCCGTATCTACCACGTGCAAGCTATACGCATGTCTTGATTTCGGGGACTGGTTTTCAAAGCTTTCATCCACACAGAAAATAAGATAACGATGGATTATCAGTAACTCACCTTCAAAGGAAAGACTTTCCTTCTATTTCATGAAAAGAAATACATTGCCGAGGGAGAATTGGTTTAACAAACCTTTGGTGGATAAGATTGCCATGGATGACAACCAAAGATCCAGCTTTTACTTCAATAGGAACAAAATCCTTTTTATCATAAGATGGTGATGGTCGATCGAATTTAACACCATCTTCATCTCTATAGAATTTTCTAACAAGCCCGTCTGCAGCAACCATAGAATAAAATAGAAAGGAAAAATTATTAGATCTGATCAACCGAGGCAAAGGATAAATGATCCGGGTGAGAAATAAACCAGAAAGAGAGAGAAAAAAACGCTACTTTTGTGAGATCCGGGAATTGCCCAAAGGCAACCGTTTGATAAGGTTGCATCTTCTAAAGCCAGCCACAGCCCTGTGCATGTTTGTGGTTCAGTATAAATAAAAGAGTTATCTTGATGTGGCACTACTTCACCCCCGATGCCAGGTTGCTGCCGATAAAAAATTTGGAATCCGGTTATGATAATGCTTAAGCATCAAATGCACATATACTAATACTAAGACCCTTTAGTTATTGCAACCATATAATCAGCAAGATAGCAACTGAACACACAAAAGACCCAGAAACTGTACCTTAAATATATACATAGACTGCATGATTACCGGTCTCTTGTAACCTAAAGAGCTCATCAAACTTGAAGTCTTCTCAGAAGAAGAAAATTTCTTGAATGCAGGCTCAATCTCATGAAGTGCTGCAAAAAAAAAAAAAAATCACAACACAACCCGAGTCCACGAAAATGAAAAGCTAGATTCAAAGCAAACTAAATCAATTTCCACCAAACAATTCTACCCCCACGTCATGCCAAAACAAACACTAATACAAATTAAGCATGGTTTTAAATTGCAACCGCAATATGGCAATCGCAGCAGGCCACAATTGCAGTGTGATTAAAAATCACGCGTTCAACTGCATTAGGAACTGCATACGACAATTTCGCTCATTCAAGTATTTTCATTAAAACTCAAATTTTCAGAACCCTCAAAACTCAATTCAAGTATTCAAAGTATTTTTCAATGATGTGTTTCAAATACCTCTCAATAAAAATCCACGCCGCAATGCATATCGCAGTAACCGCAATGACTGCAATCACAACATGCACAACCGCGACCACAATTTAAAACCATGGTATTAAGAATGAGGTCTAGGATTTCGATCACTATCGCTAACAAACTCTCTCCCCCCGACAGATTAACAACTAACATTTTCGTATAATACATAAATAAACTAAATCAATTACATATATTATTAAGAGTGAGTACTCCAATTTCTAGTTCAAAAGAGGGCGGATAGGGATCAAAATATTTAAGGTTTATTCTTACCATGACCAACTTTATTGAGGGAAACTTGCTTTGGCTGCTTTAAGCTACCATCGTCCCCAAAAGCTTTCTCTACATAAAACAGATAAACAAAACTTCAAAATAAAAAAAAATAAAAAAACCTAATTACAATAAAACCAAAAAAATAGATTTTTTTCTTCAATACCCTCGAAGAAGAACGAAACTCTTTCAGCACTCTGGAAAAAATAATCATCAGTCAACTGTTGCTGAAAAAGATAAATAAAAAAAGAATGAGAACAGATAGAAAAAACAAAACTTTAAACATAAAAATGAAAAGTAACAAAGTAACCTGGTTTTTGGTGGAGAAAATAGAGGCGGTGGAGGCAGGGTCGAATTCATCAACCAACTGTTCCATCCTCTTTGTCATGGTTTGAATCTCATCTTCAGTAGCAAAGGATTCAATCACAAGATAACCTGTGAAAATGATTGATTGAGGATAAAGGAGTGGAATTGAATTGGGGTAATTGAAGTGAAAGGATTGGTTACCATGAGAGTTGAAGGATTTGAGTTGATCCGGACTAAGCATACCCATCTTTTCTCTTCTCTTGTGTTTTGCCTCACAATGTCAAATGTTCAATTTCAATCCAAATCTTTTTCTTTTCCTTCTTTTGAAATGATACATAGCACTTAGCCTCGTAAGGTCAAATTTCCATATATATATATATATATATATATATATATATATATATATATATATATATATATATATATATATATATATATATATATATATATATATATATATATATATATATATATATATATATATATATATATATATATATATATATATATATACTAGCGTTCAGACGGACACGGGCATGCTCACATCATAGGAAAATAAACGTGTGTATATTATGTGTGAAGTTACTTGCATAATTTCTTAATGCGCACAACATAAAAAAATAAGCGGACAAACGCGCACAAAAGAGATATCATCACAAATATAAGGATTAAGACCTGAGATCTTTATCTTGAGAATTAAGAACTATCTGAGTCTAAGCGAGTTTATATATATTTCATCATAAAATGAATTGATTGGACATCTCACCATATGTAAGTTGTCACCAAAAGGTTAATTGGAAGACTATTGTATTGTCTATGCATCTTGTTCGATCGTTCATATTACTCATTGTGGGCTACAAAGCTCGTTACACACTCACAAACACAGGTACAATAAAAAAGACGGTGAAATCAAGCCACTCACAAACACAGGTACAATAAAAAAGACGGTGAAATCAAGCCAAGATAAAGGGCTTATAGAAACCTACACGGTCCAGTCAAAACATGATAATCAGCTTATAAACAAAAAAAACCTACAATTTACACTTTCAAAACACGATCTAGTCACATGTTGAGCATTGTGACTTTAACCGCCTTCTAAGAGTGTCTCTGTATAAGTGAGCTCACTCAGGTCCGATCAAAGAAATGATTTCACATGTGACTTATGAAATGCTTTTCAGAGTTGATCCGGGCACGGTAAACTTTCAATTGCGGATATAAGTCACATGTTTTGAATGAATCTCCTTGTGTTGTGCTTACTCAATGAGAATCATCTTAACCCGCAGATTTCAATTTTTGGTCTGGCCTGGGTGGATTAGAAATACATCTTTAAAATTAATATTTGAATGTATTTTTTTCTTTGATCGTGTCTGGAGCATTTGTTGTCTTTGATCTCTTAGGTTTTATTGCATCTTTTTATTGGTTAACTATGTTAATTTATGTGTGTTAATACGAAAGGTAATATCTGAGGAGGAACATCTCTCTGGTATTACCTTGTGGCACATAGTCTTGATAGCGTCCAAACGGGCACGACACACGCGTCAAAATATGAACGAATATTTTTTATTTAATTTTGATTTTAATTTAAATTATTTGTATAGTAAACTTTGTAATATGCATTCCTCTCTCCCCCCTTCCCTCTCTCTCTTATAAATTTGATGAAAGTGTTTAGAGAGGAGTTTGTAGAGTAAACTGAACAACACGTACATCCCCTGCAAACATGTATGCTCCACACACGACTCTTCTCGTGCTTGTCTTTTTTTAATGCGCATACACGTCAAAATATAAACGAATATTTTTTTATTTAAGTATGATTTAAATTTAAACTATTTGAATACTAAATTTTCTGATATGCATCCTTATGTTTGTAAGAAATTTTAAAATGTCATTTATTTAATTAATTAAAAGTTAAATTATTTTTCAAATTAAATTTGTAAATAATATGACATTTATTGTGTATCTCTCTTTAACATCAAAAATAAAAATCGTAAATAAAAAATTAACAACAAAATTTAACTAATTTAAGAAAGTGAATGCTCAAATTTTTCAAATTTTCAATAATTCACAATAAATTTTTTTGTTAATATTTTTATTTTATTTTTTCATACTTAAAGTTTTGTTCAATAGCAAGGTCACACATATAGACATAAAAGATAAAATAATAGAAGTTATATATTTTTGCAATTGTCATTGTATATTTGAATAGTATATTAAGTATTAATAAATGTGACAATATTTTTAAAACTGTTTTATCAATATACATAATTTTTTTGAGGAATTGGTTTTTATTTCTATAGTACATATGGAAAAATATTAAAATTGTGTGTACCAATTAAGTTTGTGAAAGATTTTCAAAAAGATTTTATTTTGTACTGTTATATTACAACTTTCTGTTAAAGTCATCCATAATATTTCAAAAAGAAAAGAAAAGAGAAATGAGATGATGGATCTAAAAAATGAAATGTAGATCTAAAAATGAGATGATAATAATTTGTTGAATTTTTTATTCATTTATATTTTTATGTGTGTGCTCATTAAAAAATTCAACAAAAAAAATGTTAATATGAGAAATTGATATGTAACACTCTTATATCATCTTCTCATCTCTTCTTTTATTCTATATGTCAAATAGCAAATCAAAAGTAAAAAGCAAAATAGCAAATAGATTGTTACAATAGCAAATAGCAAATCAAAAGTAAGATAGAAATAAAAATTTAAAACAAAAGAACTAACACCATTAAAAACCACGATCATTTCAAAAAATAATACTAATGAAATAATTGTTTGTATTATGAAAATCTAAATTACATATTTTATGATGTGTTTATACTCACAAAATACAAATAAGTATCATTAAGAAATAAAACATAATAACAACAAAAGCAAAAAGTTAAAACTATAGTATTAATGAATAATGTTTTGCAACCAAAGTAAGATATAATTTTTGTAAGAAAATAACAGAGCAGTAGAAAACCACTCATACTCATTGTGGTTTCATTAAATACTTGAATTTTATTGTATTTTAGAGTATGGAATTTTTTCAAGTATCACATGATCTTTTTTTACTCCATAGTTAATAACTCTGCTTTGAAAAAAATGAAAGTTTCGTAAATGGTAAAATTATAAAAAAGACTCTATTACAAAAGTCATACAAAAACTATTACTATAAAAGTAATTACAAAAAAAATCTACATACAACAATCAATTTTCAGTCATAATGAGAACGACTTCTTCTACCAGGTGTGATGTCGCGATCTTGACTGGAAATAAGTTTCATCTATTTTTCAAAAATAAAAAGATCACTAATTAAAATTGAATAAATGAAAATATTATAGAATGGAAAAAAATTTAAAAAAATAAAGTATTTTCATTGAGAAAGAGATGAAATTTACATAAAAAAAAATAGAAGAGAATTTTTAACTTCTGTCACCACTTAGTAGTTAATGGAAGTTATAGGTGTGAGATATTTTTTGTGAGAGATGGAAGTTACTTTTTCAATTGGTAACTAACAAAAGTTATTAATCACTCAAGATTTTAAATTAAACTATTTTCTTGTTGATAAAAAAGATGAAGGGTAATTTTGGAACAAAAATAAGGCACACCAAAAACATGTATCCCCTTAATATATAGTTATAGATAAAATTTACATTAAAAAAATAGAAGAGAATCTTTAACTTCTGTCATCACTTAGTAGTTAATGGAAGTTATAGGTGTAAGATATTTTTTGTGAGAGATGGAAGTTACTTTTTCAATTGGTAACTAACAAAAGTTATTAACCACTCAAGATTTTAAATTTAACTATTTTTTTGTTGATAAAAAAGATGAAGGGTAATTTTGGAACAAAAATAAGTCACACCAAAAACTTGTATCCCCTTTATATATAGTTATAGATAATCTATAATATATATAGAAGCAAAACATAATATTTTGGTGTAGTCTATTTTTCTACCAATTTTATTTTTTTTAATGTATAATTCACAATAACTTCCATTAAAACCACTATTATCATCTGTTCCGCTGTGCGTCAGCCGCCCCAAGGACTGGTTCGCGGACAGAGAGTTCTGCCTCCCCGAAGGCCCCGACCTACCCAGTGAGCTGGTACGGCCAACCAGCCGGTGGGAATACTTTGCCAGAGCCATGGTCATCTCGGGTGGCGCCACAAGGAGCCTGTCCATAGGATCGGTGAAAAGAAAGTTCGACAAACTTATCACGAGCAACTCCGGAAAAATGAGCACGCTCGAAATATTTCGTGGTCGATCCAATCCGATCACATTCTACCTCGAGGAACTCCCCGGGGGATCCCCCAACTCCAACATTCCCCTGCTCATACGGGCACGGATGGCAAACTTCGACGTCAGGCGCATCCTCGTCGACGGAGGCAGCTCGGTGGACATCATGTACACCCACCTGTTCACAACCCTCAAACTCGACGAATCCAACCTGTCCCCCTACGTAGGCTCCGACCTTCAGGGGTTCAACGGAACGACGACGAGACCTTGGGGGTACGTGGAGCTGAAAGTCACTTTCGGGGAAGAGGAAACGGCCAGGGAGATCAGCATTCGTTTCTTAGTCATCGAATGCCCGTCCCTCTACAACTGTATCTTGGGCAGAACAATGATAGCAGAACTCACCGCGGTGCCTTCCACCGTCCACCTGAAGATGAAGTACTACACGAAACGGGGGGCCATGGTGACCCTTAACAGAGGCATAGAGGCCGCCCGGAGGTGCTTCGAGGCCGCGCTGAAAGGTTTGGACACCATCGCTCCAGCAACCAAGAAGGTGACCCCAATCGTGGCGCCGAAGAGCGAACCAAAGAAGTTGGTCGGATCTGTGGACCTCGACAGTCGCTTCACCGAAGAGCGCGATCACGAAATAAGGACCAGCGAAGCCAACGAGCAGCACACCCACCCGACACGCCCCATCCCGGACGGAGAATTCGAGATCATCACACTCGGGGAGGAAAAGAGCAGAAGCGTAAAGATCGGCGTCGGACTCCCAGACTTAGCGAAAAAACAGCTACAGGCCTGCCTCCGCGAGAACGCTGACCTCTTCACATGGAGCGCCGCAGAAATGCCTGGACTTGACCCCGAGGTCGCCTGTCATCAGCTGCCCATCATCCCGACCGCGAAGGCCGTAGTTCAATGTAGGCGTAGACAGTCCCCCGAAAAGTCGGCGGCGGCTGAAAAAGCTGTAAAAGACCTCCTATAGGCAAATTTTATTTCGGAAGCCCGGTATTAAACCTGGCTGTCC